TACCTTTTTGAGATGTTTTCTTTTGCAATATTATCTGGATTCTTTGTGTCTCGAATCTTTACCACATAAATGACAAAGTTTTTTCCAAGAAAAATTCTTGAGGACCAGTTCTCGCCTAGGCGTACGGTCTCTCAATTCACAAACTCCACTTTTTTTAAGCGCTTTACTCTTGCGACATTTTCTGAGCATGAAGCTCTTTATCCCAGAACAGTTTTTTGCATTAGTTGCAATTTTGAACAATGAAAATTTTTGGGGACCAGTTCTCGCTGGTTCTGTGTTCGCTCTCAACTTAAAAACTCTTCTTTTTTGCAAAAATTTTCGAACATAAAATTATTTTGTCCAAGATGTACCAAAGCAACCTTTGAAGCGTTTACTTTAGTGTGAAAGTCTTCAACCAAAAAATTGGGGACCAGTTCTCGCTCGTGCACACAAAGTCCGACTTTCATTTACAACTCGCCTTCTTGAAAACCAGCCTTGCGGGGCAATTTGAAATCTAAATTATCGCTTAGTGCAAGCCTGAGGACCAGTTCCGTCTCAAGTTCTCAAGACCAACTATTTTTTTCAGCGTTGCGAATCCATGTCTCATCGGTGACGAAAGAGATTCTAAGCAAGGATACGGGTTTCCGATTAGAACTTCGAGGTGAAGTCGAAATGAAAGGCAAAGGTCGGCTGACGACATATTGGCTGAAAGGCTACAAAGACGTCAGCATTCCGGATTTTGGACCGGAATATCAATGACGTCCAGCGTCTAGGTGTCTCTGTAACGATGTCTCGTTCTCTCGAATAACTGCGCTTGTGTAGTGCCTCAGACTCAGCAGATGCAGTAAAACAGCTGATGCAGTGTGTGATATATCACTTGAGATTTTCTATAATACGTAAGTATCAATTTTGTGTGTGTGTGCATAAGTTTTGTATATTTATATATCGCGCGCATTCGCTACGTTTATAGTTCACATCTCGTCCTTCATCATGAAATTCTGCACCTTAAGCTCCGCCCCCTCGCCCGCTCTTCGCACTAATGCGTGTTTCCCCCTCTCTTGTTCATGTATGTGTGTTCCAACCGGCGCTTTGATCTACGGGTTCGTCCAGCCACCTTACTGTGTGTTAGTGTTGCCCGTTGATTATTTTCTAATTGATTATTTATGATTTTTTGTTTTCTTCCTCAATCGATTTGTTTCATCATTGTTTTCGCGCACCCGTGATAATGACTCTTTCTGTGCTATTACTCTAACTTACGCTGTACTTCTCTACTCATAGCCGCTCGCCGCCGCGCGCTCCTTTCTTTCTTTTCTCTTTTTCTTTCTTCTTTCGCTTCATCAAACGCTCTCTTCTTATATCTCATCCATCTTTTCCCGCCACTCATCATTATAATACAAAAACATAACCCGCTATCTCTGTGACATCTCGTTCACGAATTGTTCAGGTTTTCCCCTTCCTTTTAATTTCGGATACGGTAGTTGTGAAGTTGTGCGCTCAACAGCATCTATTTGTACGTTTAGGTCCTATTTGTTTGTTTGTTTTTTTGCAGATATATTGAACACACATTGTTCTGGACATACTCCAGGACTTTCTATCCTGAGAATCGCAAATTGAAGCGTGGCCGCTCTAAATTCTGAATACGTTCGCATTGCGAGCGGCAGGCAATAATAAAGATTACCACTAATGTGTTTGTACAGAAAGTCAAAGACTACATACTGTTGCGGCTCGGTGCGCTCAGCACCCCCTTGCCTCGCTCGACTGTCTGCAC